AGAACTGCTTGACAATGCCCAGAAACAGCTGCCTCCTACCTAGCAGGTCTTTTTGGATCCCAGTTTATTTCATCTTGGGGGGAAAAAAAACCCGTGACCATTAGATGTAAAACAAAGACATTCACTCCCCCATGCCGGGAAGTGTTGAAGGCCAGTTTGGGTGGGGCTTTGAGCAACCTGGTCTAGTGGAAGGGGTCCCTGCCAATAGCAGGGGGTTGGAACCAGATGATCTTCAAGGTCCCTTCCAACCCAAACCATTCTGTGATTCACCTAGAAGCGTAATCTAACAAATATTAGTCACGAACATTAATGTTAGCTAGAGCATATCGCATTTATGCCCTCAAGAATGTGGTGCTGGTATAGTTTGCATCATCAGAAAGGCACATCTCTATACGTGGTAATGAGATTTATTGTACAGGGAAAGTCTGGGAGTGTCTAGAATCAATTTAGCATGAAAAAACCTAATCTACTCTGGGTTGTCATAGGATTGCCACAGGTGTAAGGACAGTTTTTCCTCCCACCACCTGTCTGGCTGTGTTGTTTGCCACTGCACTAAATATTGAGGCTTCTACTGAGGTGTCTCACCAGACCTCTGAGGAAATGACAGTAAGCTGAAAGGCATGAATCCCTCTCCGGACAACAGAAAATCATCTGGGAACAAGACAGAAAAACTACTAATGCCCAAAGAAAAGCTGCAAGCAAGTTCCTTGTCTGGAGACAGGTACAGCTTGCTTATCTTCAAGTTATGATTTCCAGCCTTCAGCAAACTCAGATGTACTGAGTTGTACTTGGCATATATGTTTTATATTGCTTTTGCAGTGTTAATGTACTCTTTCTGCCTTTAAATGAGATTTGCAAAATACAAAAAGGCAGCTCTGGAGAAGAGTTATCAAAACACATTGCTATGTTTTTCTTATTCCCAAACACTGAGTAACATTTACATTACAAGCAAGGAAGCCAAAACAGGCAACTGAGCAGAAAGGATGGTTGGAAACAGCAAATACTTAGAAAGTTCAGAAATGCAGAAATTTATCCTAATGTTTACCCATATTCTAATGCTTCAAGAAGACCGAACACTTTGACACAAGTTGAAGAGCCTTTGCCAGCCAGACTGTTTGATGTTGTGTTGGCTCTGTGACAAAGCCAGGCCGTACAGGAACATTGGCATTGTTTTCTGATCAAAGCAAGCCCTAATGGCATTAAACCTGAGTTGTGGTCTGACGTGTTTTCCTCCCTCAACCGTCACTTCTCTACATTGCCACTAGCTTTTTCTTGAGCTGTTGCAGTATGATATTCTGCTAGTTTAAAGCATGTCCAGACTTTTATTTCAGATGATAAGAATTGATTTTCATATATATTCTGTTGTGCTTGGTAAGGAGACAGGAGGGTGTGAGTATATTATTGCAGTGCAGAAAAGGTTGCTTTCGGGTTATGGTGATTTTCAGTTTTTGGTGGGTCCAATGATATTGCAAGAGAAAGAGGAAGCAGGACAGCTTTAGCAATTTTTGGATTAGGTTCTTGTGCAGCTTAATAGTTAAATGTATCTTTAAAACTAAGCCTATGCTGATGTCCCTTTTTTAAAGTACAGATATGGAGCAACTGTGGCTATAGCAGGATAGAAGTGGGTGGCCGCAGTAACTCGTACAGGCATCCTGCACAGGATGAGATGCTGCACATTTTTGTAGTTCTGTCCACTAATATTTGGTTTTGGTTTCACAGATAGTAAAATGGTCTTATAATTTCAAATAAAAGCAAAACTGATTAGATATTATGAAATCAAATGTCAGATGCTCACAAAATATATCTCCATTGATGACAACTGAAGCACAATAGAGTTAAGTAACTTCAGAACTCAAGTCTCAATTTTCTAGCGCTAGCTTCTCTGCTCAGGTGTGACATAATCCATGACAGAACACTTTACAGAGCACTTACAGAGAGAGTGTAGGGTTTATCCATTGCTACGTTGCTACACAAGCCCATATTGTCCACTGTAATCATTGTTGCTGCTGCAATTCAGATTTCTCTTCTGTTAACTTTGATTGCAATTATATATGATGCCAACCAGAGTGAACAGGAGAAAATGCACCAGTCAATGATACTAAAGGCTGGATACTAGCTCCTGCAGTCACATCTACCACCTGTCTTTAAATCATTTAGTGTGGTCTAGCCCTTACTGTCTCCTTGGTAGCAAGGAAGCCAAGCAGACTCATAGTTTTTGAGCAGCTATCATCGGTTTAAAATGACTTAGCCTTAGTAGATATTCCATCTTCTATAGCACAATGAACCTGACCTAAATCAGTGAAGAGAGATTCCTGTCAAAGCTGTAGTAGGCATCAGGGATGGATGAGAAGACTTAGATGAAAACAACTATTTTAGATCTTTGTACAGCACAACTCAAACTGAATTGTTATAAAGTTCTGAAATGTCCAAACACATTTTACTGCCTTCTGGTTTCCAGACGGGTCTGCATCCAGAACACCAGAGTACCACAAAAATGTTGCTTTTTTCCTGCTCCAATCAGAAGCAGCTGCAACAGAAGGCTATTGAAAAGTTTGATTCTTAGAAAATGCCTGTCTCTGTTTTTCAAAATAAAAGAAGTTTAGATAATTTGAGTAAACTTTGCAGGGGCATTCAAACATTTAGAATTGCACTAGGACACACATTTCCAACCCTTGGAAGCATATCCTTCACTAGCTATTCGCTCCTAATGAGGGAATTGGAGTGCTCCAGTGGGTAAAACTCAAGAGAAAGGATTCCAGTCTAGCCCAGCTCTAATTTAATAGGTGGCTTTGACAGTATCACTTAAATTCTCTGCTCTTCAGTTTCACCGCTGACCTCGGGAGTCATGCTTCTAAAGCAATTTGCTGGAGTTTCAAGTTCACACCCTTACTATTATTATTTTATTCACTGTAAACATGTACAGTGGTGCATTTAACGTTTTTGCAGACAAATCATTATTCAGCATCCCATTGAATTCTATTCAAAATCCAATAAGAGACCAGCATTTGTGGTTTCATCACCAAGGTGTCAAAAGCCCCTACGACTAACTGACTCCTCTGAAAGTTGAAGGTATACAATAATTTCAGAAACTGCACAGCACCTTGCAAGATCAAGCCCATAAGGAATTTTTTTACTATTTATACTTCCATTGTGAAGTTATTGCCTGCTTTCCCAATTTGTCTTTGCAGTCCTTATATTCCGCAGGTTTACACAGCTACATGTGCACACTCTGTTCAAAACACTTGCCCATATCAAACATCCCGTATGGAAATTTGCATGCGCATGCTCATGCATAAAGTGCACGGTGAAGTGCAGGAAAATGATGGAGCTTTTAAAGTTTTTATTTTTATCTGACTTTATGGAAAATTAAAAAACAAGACAAGATTATAATTTCACCAGGAATACCTTTGTTGATCTTAGTTCCCAATATCTAGTAAGAGGGGGTAATATCTAAATGAATAAATGTAAATAAGTGAAGAATGTGAATATACAAGTTCTTGGGCTTATATGGAAGTTGACTGATTCTTGCAGCAACCCTGACTCGTAATAAAAATGATTTATTTAAAGATTTATTATGAACATTGCAGGAAAGGAGATAACAGACATGCACCACTTTGTTTACAGTAAAATTTCCTGTAAATTAAAAAGAGCTCTTATTCTCTGTTTGGTTTTGACTTGGTACTGTACCAAGTATCTGTTTATAAAAGGAAATAGGACGGTACAAAATGTACAAAGTGAATTGCAAAAGAGATTAACAGTCAAGGTGAATTTGCTTTAAATTAAATCCTAGCAACACAGACACTGTAGATACCATTCAGGTAAGGAAAGTCGGTCTAAGGCAGATCTTTCATGCACCATGCACTGAGAGCTGAACTGCCTGCAACGCAGGCCAGAAAGCTACTCTCCAAACTGGGATTGGTGTTAGCCCCACAGCAAACTCACGGGTCACTCTCAGTGTCAAAAGAATATAACCTTAACCATATGTCATGCTTGAACCTCCCTAATCTGTGAGCTGTGCTGCAATGATCCCAACCCCAAGAGCAGGGCTCTCTAAATGCTTCTTTCTGCACTTCCTGAGGAACTTCAGCTCCTGGCGATGTTAATCAGAAGTGGAGACCCCCAGCACAGTGCAGTAAGTGGAGATCCTAACAGAGCTAAGATGGTTTTGTTTTACTGAGGTGCCAGTGCATACAGTAATGACCTAAGAAGAGACACATCAGTGAGAAAAAAACTGAACTGGTTTTAAAAAAAGATTCAGGTGATGAAGAGATAAGGCAGCAAAAAAATGTTGCAGAGCACTATATAAAAGTTAAGTTTGATGTAAAGGAAATACTGTGTTTCAGAGGGATTATGTCTTGAGGACTTTTTCCTGCAATCCATTTTTGCTGAGCTTTTCCGCTTATAATACTCACTAAACAGCTTATTAAAGAGTCTTTCTGAAGTCACATTTATGTGACAAAGTATGTTGCAACCTCAAATCGTCCCATCCCACAGAGAATCTTCTGGGAGGAGTCTTGGATGAAGATAATGTATTCACAGTTGAAAAGGAATAATGGAAAGAGACATCACCTGTTTCATCAGAAAACTGGAAAACAACCAGTTTTGCAGAAGCAATTCACTTTGTTGAATTAGCCCTAGAGTCACCCTGGTATCTCTAGAGATCAGAAAACCAAGAGCAGGACTTCATGGATCTCCAAAGTATCCACCCTGGGAAAGAAAAGGTTTGTGGATGGCAGTGCTGGATCAGGGTCATATTCTCCTTGTACATACAACAAAAGATTTACATGGAGGGTAAAATCCTGAAATTATTGACATTATCTGGAAGCCAAGAGCTACACGTATTCATGAGATTTACCCCAAACTGTTCTGAGATCCATTATTTGATATGTAGTGCTATGAAATTAATGCTGGATTTTTAAAACCATGTAGTTAATAAAACCAATTTGCAGACAGTCCTGTGGATACAAGTTCAATGGTTTAGGAGGTATGTTGGCACTTACCTGGGGGCACGTGTTCATTCATGATGACGAGTGATGCTGGTGTAGGCCTTCTTTTCCTGATCTGTAACATGCATAAAACAAGGAGAATCATTAGGGTCCACCAAATGCCCCACAAAGCAAAGCAAAAAATCCAACTGGTGCACCCCTGAGTATAGACCAGGCAAAGTTAAAAAAGAAAATATTTAAAGAACAGCAGCATGTCACTGTCTTACTGACTGCTCATCTGGTCTGACAGTGATCAGGGTCATGCTGCTGCTTGTACATGAAAAGCAAAGGCAGAGGGGAGAGCTTTCCAAAATACCTTTAGGATTTGCAATCATCTTGAATAAGTTTTTGGACATGCATTGCTGACACGCATCAGTCATATCTTAAAATATTGACATTTAGCTTTGCTTCAGGAAAATGATTGCAGAAGTTTGTGAGCTTATGCATGCAAATACCTAGTAATGTCATAGCTCTCACAAGTAATCATTAATAGTAATATTAATATTTTGTAAGTGTACTTGAGAGTTGATATTGCATATAAGTCTTCCAGTGAATTTATGATATTTCTAAACCGTGGCCAGAGGTGTTACTACTGTTCTTCAACTAAAGAAAAGCAATACTTCAGACTTTCAGAAGAATATTTTCAAAGAGCACTGTACAACAGATCTTTACATATCAATATATAATCCTGAACTGTATGCAATTCTTCTTATTCAGAGTTTATTTGGTTAAGTATTTTTGTTCCATTAACACTGGTTGAACTACATGATATTAGACTACCCTCCTATAATGCACACATTTGTATTGAAAGCTTTGTCTTGCTTCACTAAAGCCTCCAGGCTATTGATATTCTATTGAATTCAAGAGAAGGACCAAGAGTATGTAAGCTAGAAACCATTCTGACATAAAACCTCAATGTCAGTGCGTTTGTTCTTTTTTAGTTGCTGAGCCAACATTTGTATTTAGCTGGGTTCAAATTTTGCTTTCAGAGGTGTAAATGGAAAATTACCTCATCAGGGTTAATGGATTTATTCCAGATTAGCGTAACTGTAGCTGACAGTAGAATTTACTACTTTAATTTCATCACACACCCACAGTGAAACTGTACAGCACTTGGAATTAAACTCACAACACAAAAAAAGGACTGCCCATAAATACTGGGTAGAATTTGGGCCACAGCATTTCAAAAGCCATGGGAATTCCGGGAAATCCTAATCCTATGGTTCTCACAGATTTCAGAAAAATATCAGAACACATTCTGCTTGAATTCATTGCTGCAGGACTGTTCCATAAGGTACGGACATCTCGCAGCTTGGAAGTACCTATGGACAAAACTAAGACCCTGCAACAATTCTCCCCTGCACCCTTCTAGTATTTCTTCATTCAGCAGTCACTCACAACTCATCATTTTCTGGCAAAGGCAGGTGCCTTTTAAGAGATGTGACATAAGAATATTCAGGAAACCAGATACCTGTCTTAAAGGTGCAAATAATTTCATAGCTAATGGCACGGAACCGTCAAGGTTATGATATTCCCCTGGTATCATCTAAAACTAGACTTACCAAAATAGAAGTAAATGTCGAGAAGGACTTGCACCGAGCGAAATATACTGGGTCACCTAATTACAATTCATCCATCTCTTCTCATAAGACTCCCTGTGTCCCTCTTTATGCACATCTACGCATGTCTGTACACAATAATAGATATCTTTTCCTCCTTAAGACATCTGTATTGCTATATATATTATATGTATGTGTACGCTTCGGGAGTGAGTCAAAACCTAAAATAGCACACACATAATTCCAACAAGGACATGTCAGGCATATTTCTACACGTATATATTTTTCAAATATGTAAACCACTGTAGCAATGACATAAAGAAAACTGTATAAAAAACATGAGAAATACAGGATGTAACTGGAGTGATAACTACCGTGCAAAACATAACTCATGTTTTCTCATGTTAAAATGAATAGTAAATAAGCTGTCTTCTGTGCAATATTTCCATTAGGTACCTGTTTTCAGCTTCATGTTTTGCTTTACGTACAAATAATATACTTTAGTTGATTTGTTGAGAATGTGTATTCATGTGAAGTGTATGTATTAGGGCACAAGTCCAGTTATAGAAAAGGCACAACAAATATATACTGAATAAACCTACCCAAGGTAAAGAAGCCTTATTCTGGCTAGAGGACATATCCTCCTCCCTCTTTGGGTGTATCCAGACATTGCTATAACCTCCAGAGCATTTAATCTATAGTTACACTAATATAAGTTAGAAAAGCATTTAGGCCACAGGTATTACCTGTTCTCACCCCACATCTTGCCCCCATTCCCACCTTATTCCCTCAAGACACCAAAAGAAACTCTTCTTCCTTACCTGCTCAGCTGCCTCGGGATCTATTTGACTCTGAAACAGTGGCACAGCAAACTGTATTTTTTTAGGGCTGTTGGGCTCCATCGTGATGCTGAGGTGAGTCAGACAAGAGAAGACCCTGGAGCTTGAGACTCGGTCTGCGCCTCTCCCCGGGCGCCCTCCCCACAGCCAGGCTGAGTGCTCCTCAGTAACAGCTGTAACTCCCGACTTAGCACGGGAATCTGCGTGAGCCGAGCAACTCCCTTATTCCACATCCACAGAGATGCCGCTGGCTTGGCTATTTTCTTTTTTTTCCCCTCTCCCCTCTCTTCTGCAGTCCTTCAGATCCTCTCAGCACAAAGCTGAGAGGAACAATAAGCTAATTGTGTACCAGTTCACTTCTACATATGCCAAGCATTCACTCAGAAGCTAATTGAAAATGCAATACTAGCATTGCATGGCCTGGAGCCCTGGGATTTGAAAAAGAGGATCTCTCCACTGTACATTACTAACTGGCTGCTCAGAAGTGCAATGCAAGCTCCCTCTGAGTATTGCTGATGGGCTCTTAATTATTGATGAACACAAATCAGGAAGTTTTCAGATTTTGGGGGTGGAGGTAGCAGGAGGGGTGGATGCAATAATTCCATCTCTGTTACAGTGTGCCAGA